GGGTTTATACGCTACTAACCGAGAAAAATTTAGCTGAATGCTATTATTGAAATATGTCGTATTAAGTAGTATGTGAATAACTGGACAAAATTTCTATGGAAGGACAATCGATTTTGCGGTAATTGATGCTCATCAGGAATGCGTATCCGGTTTTCTTCTCCTTATTTGTTCATATATTTGAACACCAGGAGGTATAGTCGCATTGTAGTTTTGATTCATGGGGTGGGCTACCTAAGAACGGATTCACAAAGACCATGTGCCGTACCATATATAAACGACTGAATGAGAAACCACCGGATACGTGCACCCGATAAGCGCAATCATCGTTTAATCGGTCGGGTACTTCCAAATACTTCATCTCCAGTCATTCATATCATTCCCAGAAGCTGGGGCATTCATCGGTGGTCACACCAGATAGACCGCTTGATAGATGAACTAAACCAGATTGAGTAACGGAGGCCTAAAACCCTCGACGAGACGGTGTATGACTTTCGAAGTGTGTGCAGGTGATCTACCGTCCGATCGAATGGTTACAAAAGAAATCTGTGGGACAAAGTAGGGTGTACGGTTCCTGGTGTTGCAGCCGCATCTATCGAGAACAAGCTCCTAAGCGGCTAATGACAATTGTGCAGCGATACGCCGCTTGGTTGTGCTCAAGTTAGAGGCGCATCCTCGAAAAAGCCGAATGCTCTTATACCGAAATCTCATAAAACCCACTTATCTTCCCCCATGAATCCAAGGCAAAGTTTACGTGTCGATGGTCTTATATAGTGGTTGGTCAGATTCGCGCACGCCATGATGCTTCTGGAGTACAATTTTTAATGGCAGAGATTGTATTATGTGCGCCAACTTCTTCATTGATCTAACGTAACTACTTGTTTAGTGAAACAATGACTATAAGCATGTAAGTGGTCCCTCTTTCTTCGCAACCTAGAGACGCTATTGGAAGTGCACAGCTCTGTCGACCGTAGTAGTAACCAACAACCTGTGTCATTCTGTTTAATCTTTATCTCGGTCTGTTTTGGACAGGTTACCACATGGGTACGGCAAAAAATGACATCGAAATTGTAAACACAAAAAAATGAAACTCAATGAACCTGTTCTTTTGCTTGGGCGTTTGGTGCTCAAGGTCGAACAGGTCCTCAGTCGTATGAAATCAGTCACCTCTACTATGATCCCATTAGGCGGTGATAAAAATGACAAGATTGTTACTGATCAGGATGTGTATTCACTGATAGATTGTTCCCAGATATAAGCCAAATAGCTCAGCAACTGAAAGAAACGTGAGCTTCTTATTGTTGCACAGACCGAAAATTCATGAAAACGACATCTATTACACGGGAACAAAACTATATTTACACATCACCGGCTAGCTACTCTAGTAGACAAGCGCCAGTAAATCGATGGACTTACGGTAAACCGTATGTAGAACAGGTCAACTCACTTTGCGAAAATAGTTCAAAGTGTCTGGACTGCGCTCGCACATTTCTTGGATGAGACAGATTGAAGCCAAAATGACACCGTGATTCTTGTCAGCCAATAAGGAACGCGTGCACGGGATAAACATTTCCATCAGATCGGGCACCTTTCTGATTATTTGAAAGGCGCACAAAGCAGCCTAAATGACCATAAAATAAATAAGTAACAGAACTATTACACAAATGAACAAAAGAAAGTGCAATGCATAAACAAATAATTATTGCAATGTCTTCCTATGCCGCAGGTCCACGTCGTATGTCTTTTTCAGCAAACACATGGTTTGTAAACGTAGTAGCCCAAGTCCAGAAGAATATATTTCGCATCTTAGATACGATCGAGTTGAGCACCCTAAATTAGTGACGTCATGGAGCAACAGCAACAACGCATACCCTCTATCAAACTGGCCAGTACAGAAGAAAAATCAAATCAATGGTGAACGTCCTTATTGCACGCATTTGTGTGATGAACAGCAGAACAGGCGAATCAGATAGTCACGAAAATCCACTGTTCAGTAATAGATGTCGGCAACTTGAGATTCGTGACTTCGAAACCCACCTAGGTTAGGCACGATATTGAACCGGATGACAGCAAAGCTGTCAACCACTCGCTAACTGGGGACGAATTTTCTGTGAAAAAAAGCAATCACGTTAGCTCTGGCATACATGAATGTGATAAGACTGTGTAAAGTGACGATGAGGAAGGAGGGTGATTCTTCATAGGACTGGCTCTGAAAGAGCTGTTTATCCAATGGCCACGTGGCGTTGAAAACAAGGTTATTGTGACAAAAATACACTCCCTGGGTACAAGTAAATGGATGAACTGACGAAAGATTAACCGGATACGCATGCCTGACGAGCGGCAAGAACCGCGAAACCGGTCGTGTGCTTCCAGGGAAATTTTGTCCAGTCATTCACATACTACTGATTATGATATATATATATATTCGCCAAACTTAGCAATTTGTTTGCAAACAAATTGCCAAGCTCGGTTAACAGGCAAAATGGAATGCGGTTCACCCGAGCTGCGAGAACCGATTTGCAATGTTTTCAAAACTGTTATCTTTTGAATCTCTTCCTCTGTAGAAATTCGGCGACTATGGGTGATCGAGCAGCTTAGTCTGTTATTACAAGCGGACTAAAGTCAGACGAATATGAGGTTACAGTCGCGTCACTTTCACAATTATGTGACACCACAGTGAAGCTATTGTGTTGGGCATATTAAGTATCAGTTTTCGTAGCCAAATAATATTTTCTCGTAACCCTGGTGTATGCCTTTCTCAGTGTTTATCCTACTAAGGAGCGCACTGTAGAAAATTCTGCGTGACTTGGGGGTTGATCGCAGACATACGCTTGAATGAGAAATAAATTTTAAACAAGTAACTATCAAACGAGATCAGTGAACCAGGCAAATCCATTGGATG